TTTTGTCTCTCATAGTTGAGGTATACCTATGATGAAAATTACAGGCCTCTCTCATCTTTTTCAGTGGGAGAACTTGCACAATTGGTGGCTGACTAAATACTTTTTTGCCCCACTGTATGTGAGATGGGCAGCTATATAAATTTACCAAATAAATAAATAAATGTTAGAACAACTTATTTTTTCACAACATTTATTAGCCTCTACCCACTGGAAAGGTATTGGAATGATGCAATATGCCTCTCTAATCCATTTGAACTGCTGCAAATGCCATCATTAATCCAAAGCAAACACATTTCTCTCTGTTCTCAAAGTATCACATTTATTACATCCAATTTCATCAGATTATTGCAATGGAAACACATGGAAGTGCCAAAGTAAGTGACACAGCCATCCTCAAATTTAGCTTGCTACAAAGATTAATACACATCTTCAAAACCCAAACAGCACATTTTAACCAGGTTCCTGAATGCCATTTACCAGGAAATGGTAGGAAGAGCTGCCCAAAGCAGCATTTCTATCCTACAACATATTGTACTTGAACTACAAAATAAGCATATAAACTTTGTCCTCTGACTCTTCACTTTTGTTAAAATCTAACTTACTTATGCTTCTGGGCCTCTTACCTCTACTGACATATTCACATCCCATGACCTTTGTCACTTTATATTGGTTTCTGTTTCCGTTGATACACTGGATTGTATCCTTGGATGTGAGTCATGCTCAGGTAAATAATTTTCTTTTTAAATATATACATATTACACTACAGGTAGTACCAACAGATGAGAAGATATGTAGCTCAAGGTTGCATTGTGGAGTCCTTGGGTTACTCTGAGCTTGGTTGTTTTCTTGCAGACGTTTTGTTACCCGGCTAGGTAACATCTGCAGTGAAGATGTTACCTAGCCAAGTAACAAAACGTCTGCAAAAAAACAACCAAGCTCAGAGAACTCCAGGGACTCCACTACAGGTAGTCCTTGTTTAGCAACCACAACTGGGATCAGCAACTTGGCTATTAAGCAAAGTGGTCGCTAAGTGAAACTGCGACTGTGCTTATAACCTTACTTCAGCTTTCCTTTGCTTTATAGACCTGCGAAGGTCGTAAGTGCAAGGATTGGTCGTAAAGTTATTTTTTCATCACCATCATAACTGCAAATGGTCACTGTACGAGGCAGTCACTAAACAAGGACTACCTGTATACCCTTTTGGAGTAAGCAACATTACACAAAGCACAGAAAAAAAGTAGTAACAAGAATTAAAAGCAAGTGATAAAAGAAAAATGGAAATCTAACTAAATGTAGTTTACATCAACACAATTCACTGTACCTCTCCAAACCACTGACCTTGCAAACACCTATTTCCATCAAGTTCACTGATTCATACATTACCTATTACTATTTAAACTTCTGATTAAATTCTAGTGTTTGAGAATGTCTTTCTGAATGTAGTTTACTGATTAACTCCAAGATCAAAAATTCATCCTAACCCAATTTACCATGTCCTATTTTGTAGTTGTTCTACATACTATATTCTAATATGTATATGTTCTACTAATACAAAAGACAGAAATCGTTTTGGCAGAAAGATTTCTTTTCTCCACATGTTAAAGCCCTAATGGGACCAGGTACACGTTATTCCTTGAACATATAAAAATATCTCAGGTGAGAAATGATTTAATTTTCAAATGGATCCTTCAATGTTCATAAATGCAAACAAAGTAACTTCTGCATCAAGATGAACTGCAGCAGCATGAAAAATAAAATTACAAAAAAAATGTCAAGTTTTAATAAGAAAATAACCTCCTGAGCCATTTATTCTTCTCTCTCTCACTTTCCCTTTTTTTCAAAATTTATATCTATCTTGAGAGCAACATTTATTATGGGACATAAAGCTGTGAATTAACCAAAACAACTTAAAAAAAAATGCTGGTTCACTCAGCTACTGTGGGTAAGAAAACAATACAGTATCCTATAAATTTAGTCATGTAACTTTTCAAATTGTTGATCCATCATAAATGGCAACACAAAAAGATGTGTTAATAAAATAAACAATACTAATCAAACTCAAAGACACACAATTGACCAAATTTGCTAGTATAAAAGCTGTTTCACATTAAAATTGTCCTATAAATTAAAAACTCACCAAAAATAATTTTGTAAAATTTACTGTCCGATCTGCTAGACCTGTCACTTTCAATTTTAGAAATATACTCATTAAATCAGTCAGGGCATACTGGAGATTTAATTCTTAAATAATGAATGAAATTTGGCCAATTCTCTTACCAATTCTTGTAGTCTCAGAAAACCTGGCAGAATATTTCCTTCCAGCTCACGCAGCTGTTCTGCATTATCCAAAACCTTTAATCAAAAAAAGATTTTTGTTACACAACAATAATAATTTGAAGGTTCTGTTTCTACTATTAGAAGTATATTTACCAACACAAACTTTCTCTAAGAATATCTCAAGTTTTCCTAAGGAAAATATATTTTGTTTTTTTTCCTCAAGCAGGCAAAATTGATTGAAAAGTCCAAGTATTCCAGTTCATTGATTCAGTCACCCTAACAGCAACTAAAATATTTCTATTTTCTACAAATGTTAGATTATATTTTGCTTTAAAAAAATAAATCTGAAGGTGAGAATTGATTAATACAAAGCCTAACTTTCTTCTAATAGCTACTAAATTCCTATACTGAAATAGGTTCTATTACTTCTGAACATAGAAATTATTCCAATTGACTGTTCAGTTTTTAAAGTATTAAGTTTCTTAAAAAGAAAGGGAAAGAAATGTATCTATATTTTATTTCTGGTGGGGCTGGGCTACGTAGAACTTTGGACTCGACCTTCCAAAGTGCACTTGCTTAAGACAGAAAGTCTTAGGATCCCAGAGTGCAATCCCAACTGCTGCTCAGACTCTATTTCTATAGCACTCTGTCAATACACTGTCTCAGTAAAGTAAGTAAAGATTATTACCTCAGTTTTAACAGCAAAGCTGGAGAGAGAAGAAGCAATATAACTAAATGGCTTAACTAATATCATATGATGGTTCTATGAAAGCGCCAGATGTGGGGCAGAAATCCTATGAGTTTCTGGGGCTTCTCCCATTAGGTTACATTAGTACTTATATATCAGTACTTATCTAATTGCAAATTACAATCTGAAACACACATCAGGAAAAACACGAAGGACACACTGTTCTCAACGTAGGCATAAACAAAGTTTTATTGACACCATCAATCACTGGGGAGAATGAGTCATTTTGAGCCTCATGATTAATCATGATTGTTCCATACCTGTGCCTGAATTAAGAGAACCATTTAGAAATCACTGAAAGAGATCATCCATTTATCTTCATTTTCCCTGAATTAACTGAGGCTGAAATATGTTACATTATTTACCAATGAAACAAAACAGAATTAATTAGTTTTGCCAACTTGTGCTATCAAAATACAGGTACTATCATCAATCTTCATTTAAATCACCCCATAATAAATCCGTACAATACAGGTTAATTCACATAAATTGATTCTGCCCACATTCATGCCTGTTTTCATGCGCAGCAGAGTGGAAAGTTCTAATTTATTGTTAATTCTTCTGATTTATTAACAATTTACCCAATGCAAATGATCACCAATTTAATGCTCTTTATCATCTATTTTCAAGTAAGTTCGGATATGAAAATGATCAAAACTGTTATTAATATAAACTAAACAACCTCTCTCAAAACCAGTTTTATTCATGGTTTCCATCCTGGAACAGATCAGTAAAATCTCACAACACATTTTCACTTTTCGGAGCTTCAATTTCTGTACCAAGAACATTTTTCCATAAATAAAAAGTGAGGTCCTCCGAATAATAGTGCCCAATGTGTAAGAGAAAGGAACCCTGTATTTTAGGTAAGCATTCTTTTTAGTTTTCATGTTAGATCTAATTACATTTTACTAGCAGCATGGGAGTCCCCTTAGTGCAGCAATATTCTCTCTACAGTTAGATACAAAACAATTGAGGTGAGCCAACTGCATGGCTCATTCTTCACAGCTGGGTAATAATCGTATGCATATTTCCAGGACAAAATATTCATACACTAAGAGCCATCCATCTGAACTTTATTTTCAGCAGCAGGATGGAACCTTGTCACAGAAAAGTCATTCCTATATTCCTAGTAAGGAGCATAAATGGGGCCTTCTCTATAAATCTGAACATAGTTGCATCTTCTAACATCTGATATTGTCACTACTTTTCACTTCACCTATGACTGCACCTATACCTCCAAAATAAACTTCTCAAAAGGTCATACACATCATAATGGCTGTGTATTGTCACTGATGAGGCTTAAAAGCCACTTGTACTAATATTATGGGATATACATTCATTCTGAAGGATATAAATTAGACAAGTCCAGACTGAAACAATGTTAAATAACTTAAAGGGCTTGAGGACATCTAATTGTTTCTTCTTTTTTTTTAACAGTACACTCCAGTGACATTATATAATCTGCCCAAAGCCTCCTTGGCATGCCATACATGGAATTACTGACCTGGGGATTGGAGCTGGGGATTTGGGGGGATTTTGAACATATATGATCAATGCATATGGGTACAATCATTAATGTGTCATGCTGCAATGCTGGTTTTCTAAATCAAGACCCTAATGTACTAGCTATAAACTAAAATCCAAACAATCAGGTTCCACAATCAAGTACAGTGGTACCTCGGGATACGAACTTAATCCGTTCCGTGACTCTGGGCGTATCCC